CATTCTTCTTTTCATTCTTTTCATTCTTTTCATTCTTCTTTTCATTCTTCTTCTTCTTTTCATTCTTCTTTTCATTCTTTTCATTCTTCTTTTCATTCTTCTTCTTATTTTCATTCTTCTTTTCATTCTTTTCATTCTTCTTTTCATTCTTTTCATTCTTCTTTTCATTCTTCTTCTTATTTTCATTCTTCTTTTCATTCTTTTCATTCTTCTTTTCATTCTTCTTATTTTCATTCTTCTTTTCATTCTTTTCATTCTTCTTTTCATTCTTCTTCTTATTTTCATTCTTCTTTTCATTCTTTTCATTCTTCTTTTCATTCTTCTTCTTCTTTTCATTCTTCTTTTCATTCTTCTTCTTATTTTCATTCTTCTTTTCATTCTTTTCATTCTTCTTTTCATTCTTTTCTTCTTATTTTCATTCTTTTTTTCATTCTTTTCATTCTTCTTCTTATTTTCATTCTTCTTTTCATTCTTTTCATTCTTCTTTTCATTCTTTTCATTCTTTTTCTTCTTCTTTTCATTCTGTTCATTCTTCTTCTTCTTCTTCTTCTTCTCATTCTTTTCATTCTTTTCATTCTTCTTCTTCTTCTTCTTTTCATTCTTTTCATTCTTCTTCTTCTTCTTCTTTTCATTCTTTTCATTCTTCTTCTTCTTCTCCTTCTTCTTCTTTGGCCCCGTGACTGCCCAAATGAGTGAAGTGTGCGGTGATTCTAAGATCGACGGCACTCATCTGCATGTCATACTGACTGACAGTATTATTTCTCTTCCCCAGCAGACTCCAAGGACATTTAAATTAAAGGTACAGTGTTCTGCACTAATATAAAGGCTCTCTGAAGCCTAGAAACCCTTTTTATAAGTAAAATTCGCAGCGAATAAATTCGAATCGAATCGAATTTTTTCGGAAAATTCGGCGAATCAGGCGAATCGAATTTTTGAAAAATTCGCTCATCTCTAGTTTCAAACAAAGACTGCTTTTGTGTCTGGATAGTTACCCTTTTTCCATACAGTTTGTGAATGAGGTGATTCCTTAATCTCTCACTGGTGCGTCTGCAAAGTCCTTCTGCATAAGGAGAGTTGCTCATTATCCAACAGTTTTATGACTATTAGCTGAAATTTGACTCCCTCTGTGTGAGTGTAGTATCCCCCCTCACTTTGGCTGTGTCTTATCTCTAGCCTAACTTTTTTTGTTTTGTTTTTTCTCTTCATCCCTTCTAACATTCTGCTGAAACTTTGTGATTTGTATAGTACTGCTTGGACTTTGAAGAAGGGGACATACCCCGAAAGCTTGTCCTCAAAATTGTATGTTAGTGCAAATAAAAAAAGTATCACGGACAGTACTCAATTGTTTCTGTCGCAAATGCACTAATACAGCTACAATCACCTCAAACAAGAGGGATAAAAAAGAAATTGATTTATATAGGATTGTTTTAGATTATATAGTACAGTCAAAAAAGGTGGAGAATATTAAGAAAGTACTGAGGTATTTTACAAAATTATAGGGTGTTAAAAAGGGGTATTACCGAAACATCCCACATTTGTTTATAAAAAGGCCCCCAGTTTGAGGAATTTAATTGCCCCGGGTGTAATAGACCCCCCCTTCTAATAATGTATGTAAAGGATTTTTAGATTTTAAAGGTGTCTACGCGTGTGGGAAATACCTGGCATGTAGAACATCTAAAGTTAATAAAAAAAGAATTTGTGAATTTAAGGCAACAGCTACAGGTTCCTCTTACATATTGAAGGACTTCATCATGTGTACCACTGAAGGGGTGGTGTATATGGTGGGAGTGCCCTTGTTTACTTCAGTATGTTGGGCATACCTCTAGACCTTTACATACGAGGATTAGGGAACATATTAATAATATTATATAATATTAAGAAAAGTAAGAAGGAACATAGTGATTCTAAACATTTTAGAGAAGTCCATGGGAAAGATCCCACAGGATTAAAATTCTGGGGGTGGAAAAAGTCAAACATTGGAGAGGAGGTAATTTTCTACAGTTTTTGAGTCAGAGGAAATCCTTTTGGATTTTTGAAACCAAGGTTTTGTTACCCAGGGGTCTTAATAGTGATTTTGATTTTAAATTGTTTTATCAGCAATAGTTGAGTGTTTTAAGACGGTATATATTCTTGTATGTATTTGTATTTTGATGTATTTATGTATAAGTCTGGTATTGTAATGATACAGCCCGGGTAGATGTAGGGAATATGCATATTATTTATGTTTTAATGTATCAAGGTTTTTGGGGAGATAGCCTGGGTAGATGGGGAGTTAATGTGTAGGCGTCTGGTCTTTTGTGAAGTGGATGGGTGTTCTCGGCCGGAGTTCGGTGGGAATTTCCTATCATCCTCAGTTAAGATGACCGCTGGTGGACTTCTGGTGGTGTGTGCACAGTCCGTGGGCGGAGAAGAGGCCAGTATTGCACTTCTGCCAAAGATGATGTTGCACTTCCGGTGTCTTCACCTGGTGTAGTGGAGGATCACTGAATATTACCAAAGGAGAAGATATTCACGGAAGTGATACACGTCATTGAGGGGATTGTTTATGGACTTTTTAGTTTTGGGGTCACTTATATGGGTTTTTCACAGGAGTATTTATGTTTTCTAACATTCTGCCATATATTAAGGCTAAGGAATTATTTTTTGTGGTTTACTATTTATTTATTTATGTTTTTGTAGATGGGGCCCTATAGTGCACTCTAAGATAAATGTGGCCTATATTTTGTGATAACTGGAATGCTGGAAGATGGTATATGGGAAGGTACTATATTAATATGTTTATTCATCCTTTTTCTGCAGCTATATAAGTAAGCATACTATTTCCTTAAACAATTAAATATGGGCCTGGTCTTTTTAGAACACATAATTATGACATGTTGAACTTTTAGGCATTTGATGCCTCATTAGTTACATCCTTTTATAAGATTTGATCTTGTGTGAGATCTCCAGCCAGGCCTCTCCCCCTCCATAGATTAGAACAACTTTATAATTAACTGTAAGTACCTGCCCACATGTTGTTTGTGGTATTGGTAGGATTTCAGCTCAACATCTACCCTTCTCTATTCAATACAGTATAATAGAGATGAGCCCACTAGTATTTTGGTTTTGTTTTTTTTCTATTCGTAGGACCAGATAGAAGTGTTGGCCCATGTCTTTGTGCTCTCTTTATGGCATCCGTTACTTGAGACCCCTATGTCTGCCTCCTAGACTGAATTTTATTGATCACCACCACATCTGTGTAAGCCTAGCAGTTTCCTATATATTGTATGTACTTTTTGATGTATTATATCATGCTATATGAAATTAATGATGTATATTTTCTGTTCCCCTCTACAAATAATTCACGGTCCTGAAGCCCTGCTCTACATGTTTCGTTGTATGACGTCATCATCACGCTCCTGCTGACATCATACGACAAACCATGTAGAGCGGGGCGTGATAGCGCTACACTTGTCCTTTGAGAAGGAATTGCTTTTTGCTGGGATTTAAAGTGCCATACACATGGTTTTATGTAAGTGCTATTTTAAATGTTTTTACCTAATAAATATGGTGTTACTTTATGGAAGTTTCCCTTTGATGTTTTTAAGGTGGTGGAGGAGTACTGTGGAGGTTTTGGAGGAGTTTTGTCACAAAGGATTGATCTAGAGGTGTTTCCACTATAGAGATGTCTATCAGCGTATAGAGATGTCAAGACCACACAGACGGCCAACTTTCCTGCAGAAGAGCGCTGCAACATCTCCTGCGATATTTGACCTACCATTCTAAGTGGTCAATTATCTGTGGTGAGAGCGGCTCTGGAGGGGGAGCACTAATTGGAGCACTACGCACAGAGAATTGCTATGGAGAAGAAGATTTACTATTGTATCACTTAACCCCTTGACGCCGACGTAACACAAATATGCGGCCTCACGGACCTGGGCTTTTTTCCGTGGGGCCGCATATTTGCGTACCTGTCTTTGTGTTGGGAGCGCACCCCTCAGTGCGCTCCCAGCACCGAGACCGCGGTGTCACTGAGAGCACCGGGTCCCGTTCTAACGATCGGGACCTGGGACTCCTGGTCCCGGGTCACATGATCGCTGTGATAGCCTCTAATTGGCTATCACAGTGATCAGTCACTGTGCAGCCCGGTCCCCTTGTTTTTTTTTCTCTCTCTCTCTATGAATGGAGAAGAGAGATACATTGTATCTCTCGAACTCCTGTCAGAGAGAAGAAAAAAAAAAGTTTGTAAAAAAAATATATATATAAATAAATAAATAAATATTAAAAAAATAAAATAAAAAATAAAAAAAATACCTAGATCAAGGTTTGATCTAGTACAGTGCCAGGGTTAGTGTTTAGGTCAGGGTCAAGGTCAAAGGTCAGGGTCAAAGGTCAAGATTTAAAAAAAAAATTGGTATCAGTGTCAGTTAGTGTTAATGTCAGTGTCAGTTAGTGTTAGTGTGTTTTAGGTAAAAAAAAAAAAAAAAAAAGACAAAAACAAAATGCGCACTATGGTTTCTGGGCTGTACTACGGGTACAAACAACAAATAACATACACATATATGGTATCGCTGCGATCGTCAAGAGCTGGAAAATTTATTTTGGGTTGTTCTTTGGTGGTAGGTTATGGTCATAACAAGAAACACATAGCTAAATTAAAAAAAAGTATTTTTTTTACTATTTTGGGCCAGTTTTCCTTTGATAATAAAAAAAAAATCAGGAGATATCCATTACCATTTACCACCAAATGAAAGCCCAATTTGTCCTGAAAAAATCAAGGTATAATCCACCTGGATGTGCAAAGTAGTTGTGATGATATGTACGGTTTTGCTATCACATGTCAACGGTGCAGAATTGTGCTTGGGCCTTTAGATTTGTTTTACCCTTAGGCGTGAAGGGGTTAATATTCACACTGGATGTGGATGGGGGTTTCTTTGGGTTTTTTTTTGGAACTTTCAATTTTTTTGGAACTTTTATATGTTTGCACAATTATTGGGACTTTAACCACTTTTATGTACATGGGCCGGAAGGGAGCAGTGCAGGAGCGGGTGGCTATTTATAAACGGCCTCCGCATTCGCTACCTGTGCGCTCTCCCTGGGAGCACGCTGCACTGCGATCCGGTGCCCGCTAACACCAATCGCTGTACGGGACCTCTGTGTGAGGTCCCGATCATGTGACCACTGATTGGCCAATCAGTGATCACATGAATAGTAGTAAGCAAGATGTCACTTGCGGACTTCATTGCTTACTACTAGTGAAATCTGTGAATGATCACAGAGGTCACATGGTACAAGACTATTCACAATGGCCTTGTACAATGTGACAAGCTGTGACCAATCACAGCTCTCAGAGTATTTCTCAATGGCTGCAAGAATGCAGCCGGAGAGAAGGAGATATTATTGCTTTTACAGCCTTTATGGTTGTAAAAGTAATCAGTGTAAAAAAAAAAAAAAAAAAATCTTCATCACCCCCCCCATGGTGACACTGTACTGCTAGGGTGACAGTATGTTAAAAAAAAACACATAAATAATGGTAAATAATGTTAACAGTATGTTAAAAAAAAACACATAAATAATAATATAAAAAAATAAAATAAAAATGTAAACTTTTTTTTAGAAAAATTATCATTTTTGGTTGTAAACTAATTTGGGTTATTTTTTTCACAAAAAAGATAGCTGAATACAGGGGGCGTGTCCAAGATGGCGCCAGGAGCAGACGTCTCTCCCTGAGCTCCGACACCCTGATCTCCCATCCGCCGCCATCCAGGGGAACAGCGGTCATCCACTACAGATCTCCGGCTGCCCGGACCTTGCCAGACACCCGAGGAGGGGTGTTGAGCTACTCTGCCCCTTCTCCGAGCATCTGGGGCACATGACAATTTGCGACCTACCGCGGCGTGTGAAGCCGCGGTGTTTCCTGAATCCGCGGCTGGAGCGGATCGCCGCCGCGGCCGGATCGCCGCACCACCGCCCTGCCCATCCGATTCTGGAGACAGGTCAGCTATTGGGACAGGCTGGGTGGGTCCCCCTGATCCTCCTGGTGGCCCTGTGGATTACACCATATCCCTGCAGGATCTCAGCGAGATACCGGGGATCTGAATTGCTGCAGGAGTAGTGCTGGATGGGGGAAGGAGTTCCTTCTACTAACCCCCTTCCCAAGTGGATAAATCAGGGGTGTCTGGGATATATTTTGGCAGCCTCTACAAAGCCTGCATACCCGGCCTAGTTATCATAACCATCTACATTTCACTGGCTGCAGCGTTATGATGAATCTGTGCTATAGTGCGAGAGGAGATTACAGCTGCCTCATGTAAATTATCTTCTGATCTGGCGAGAGGCCTAAAGGAGTTGGGCCTTCGCGCCCACCAATTGGAGCAACGTATGGATCTGGCGACTACAGTCTTGGAGGGTCATGAACAGGAAGTGGAGGATCTGCATGCTGAGCTGGACACTTTAAAAGATAAGCTGGAGGATGCTGAGAATAGAGCACGCAGGGATAATCTCCGCATCCGCGGAATCCCCGAGGCAATCACCGATTTGCAGGGCACTGCTACTGCTCTTTTCCAGGAGTTGGCCCCTGAGATTCCTGTGGAACGTCGGGAGTTTGACCGTATCCATAAAGCTCTAGCACCCAAGCCCACGGAGGGTCCTCCCAGAGACATTATTATTAAATTCCACTTTTATCTCACTAAAGAACATCTACTGCAGGCGGCTCGGAACCGTTCGGCTCTGGAATTTTAGGGTCACTCTGTTCATCTGTTTGTGGATTTGTCCCCAGTTACGATTGCCAAACGTTGTACCCTAAGACCCTATCTTCAAATTCTTCAATTGGCTGATATCAAGTATAGATGGGGCTTCCCTTTCAAGCTCTCATTCTCCTCTCAAGGTCGTCAGTTCCAGGCCTCTTCGCCAGCGGATCTTCGGCGTCACTTTCGGGAGCTTAACCTGGAACTGCCACAATACCAGAGTGAGGAGACTTCAATCCCTACGCGTCTTCGAAATTCCCAGTCTTCGCGTAAATCTCCTCCTAGTCAAAGTGGTTCCCAGGCCCTCCGATCCCTACAGGCCCAGCGTTTTCAGGAAGTCTCCGCGACTTGATGTTTAGAGGCTGGCCGCCAGTATATAGCTTCGCCACGTGTGGATTTTTGCTGCCACTTTCTAGATTTGACTCTAGATCTGTTCAGGGATTTCATACCTTCGTGTGTTTTATCTCTTCCAATCCACAGTGGATGTTTCTTTTCTCTGCACTGATTGGTTGAGATCTCTATTGTCCTGCGAGTTTCGGATTGCTTATTCAGAGGTGTATTAGCCTTAGTTGTTGGTATAATACTTTTATATTTTATATTAATGCCGAGTTGTTCCGGTGGATGGTCATGTCCCCCTCCGAGCTGGCTAGCGGTCTGGTCTTCTGTCCCGCCCGCTACCTAGCCTTTATGTGGGTGTTTTACCCACAGATGATTACTATATTGTTTGAATCAACCTCAATGCTTCACAGATATCTTGCTTGTATATCAGATGTCTTCTTGTCTTCTCCTTTCTTTTTCGTCTTTCTCCTTGTCTTTTGTCATGTGTGTTTTGTGTTTTTGTAAATTTTTTTCCAGGGCTCCCGGGGATCGCGGTGGATTTAATCTTCCTTTTTTTAGATTACCATGTCGCTGAACTGGTTATCACTGAATGTCCAGGGGATGAACTCTCCGCAGAAACGGGTAAAGATATTTAAGTTTTCTCTGGGCTCGCCAAGTTGACATTGCTTGTTTGCAAGAAACTCAATTCTCCACTACTTCTGCCCCAAAAAATTTTGATGCACGTTACCCTCAGATATTTTAAAGCTACTGGCCCCACTAAACAGAGAGGCGTATTGGTCACCTTCCATAGTAAAACTCCATTCATCTGTGTGAGGCGTATTGCTGATCCCAATGGCAGATACCTTCTGCTCCAGGGCACGATCCATGGCATATATGTTACTATAATGTCCTACTACGCTCCCAACGTTAACCCTGGAACTTTTCTGTCACACCTATGTTCTCTCCTGGCTACACATCAACAGGGTACGCTTTTGATGGCAGGGGATTCAAACTTAGTGCTAAATCCTGCATTAGATAAATATCCAGCGGAGCGCTCTGACCCTTCCGCATCAGTGAAGTCCTTTGTACGTACGTTAAATACCAATGATCTGGTAGATTTATGGCATGAATTTCATCCTCGGGGGAAAGACTACACTTATTATTCACACCCTCATCATTCTCATTCCAGAATTGATCATGCCTTCGTTTCACGTAAACACCTCCCTTTAGTTCGCTCTATTTCTATTCTAACGGTCACATGGTCAGATCATGAGCCTATTTTGGTGGTCTGTCGATCTCTCCTATGTAGGCCGGCCTCCTCTTCGTGGATAATGAATGACTCCTTGCTTTCGCTGAAGGAGATTCAGGCGGAACTACATTGTAAGTCTCAGGAATATTTCCAATTAAACTTGGGTTCTGTCTCTTCTTCAGTAACATTGTGGGAAGCGTACAAGGCAGTTCTTAGGGGATATATTATCCAAATAGCTTCAAGGCGAAAGAAGGAAAGACAGCTTAACAGTGTCAGTTGGAATCGAAGTTAGCTTCCGCGTCGGCCCAATTTAAACAGTCACCTTCCCCGTTGAATCGTAGATTGTTGGATCAGGCTCGTTTAGAATTGTATCTTTGCTTAACAGATGAGGCTGAACGCTCCTTACGTTGGACTCGCCAGAAGTGGTATAGCAAAGCAAACAAACCAGACTCTATGTTGGCCCGTAGATTGCGTTCTTTTGCACAGCATCCCAAACCGATATCTTTACGTACTCGTCACAATACCCTTACGAGCAATCCTGTAGCGGTTTTAGAAGAGTTCCGGCACCGACTAGCTAAACTTTACTCTGATCCCACCCGGGCTGACCCTCAGTCCATTTCTGACTTTTTATCTCGTCTGCCCCTGCCTACTTTAACGTCGGCCCATAAGGATTTGATGGACCGTAATATCCAAGTATCTGAGGATTTGCAATGCATAGCAGACCTGAAAATGGGCAAACGCCCAGGTCCTCATGGATATATGGCACTATACTATAAGAAATTAGCTGATGTGCTCGCTCCTCACCTTGCCGCTATGTTTAACGCGGTGAAGGGAGGTTTGAATTTTTCCCCGGACTCCTTAACTGCTAATGTGGTTATGATCCCTAAACCAGATCGAGATCACTCTTCCTGGGCAAACTATAGGCCTATCTCTCTTATCAATATCGACATGAAGATTCTTACTAAGATCTTGGCTACTCGATTGAATTCCTTCCTTTCTCACCTGATCAAAAAGGACCAGGTGGGATTTGTTCCCCAAAGGCAGGCCGGAGATGCTATCAGACGTATTTTACAATTGCAACATTTGGCCCATACTCGTAAACTCGATATGATGCTCTTATCCTTAGACATCAATAAGGCCTTCGACACTCTATCCTGGCCGTATCTCCTATCGGTCCTTCACCGCTTTGGCTTTTGGCCCTTCCTTCCTACGATGGATCTCTTCGCTATATACATTCCCTTAAGCGAAGCTTAAATACTACGGATTTGAGTCCTCTACGTTCTTGGTTGTCAGAGGCACTAGACAAGGTTTCCGCTTTCCCCTTTACTTTTTATCCTAGCCTTGGAACCGTTGGCAGAAGCCATTCGTATACATCCTGATATTAAGGGGATTGATGTGGCAGGCTTCCAACATAAATTGTCTTTGTTTGCAGATGACATACTATTGTCAGTCTCGAACCCGGGGGTTACTTTGCCCAATTTGCTTGCGGTTCTCGATTCCTTTGCAACCCTTTCAGGTTTACATGTCAACCCAGCTAAATCAAGAGCTATGTCAGTTACCCTCCCACCATCACTCTTGACTACTTTGAAGCAAACGTTCCCTTTTCAATGGCTTTCGGCCTTACCATATCTAGGAATTAAGCTTACCCCGACATATGACGGACTGTATCAGGCTAACTTTCCCACTGTCTTTCATGAGTTGACCGAGCTATTGTCCTCTTGGTCTCATTTCCCGCTTTCATGGTTTGGGCAGAATTAATGCAATCCGTATGATCTATCTTCCTAAACTACTATACCTATTTCGTGTTTTGCCAGT